AATTGCCAACATCCGTTGCATCACTGAAAAAGCAACAGAGTTCCAGAAAAACATTTACTTCTGCTTTACTGACTACACCAAAGCCTTTGACTGTGTGGATCACAACAAACTGTGGAAAATTCTTAAAGAGATGGGAATACCAGACCACCTGATCTGCCTCCTAAGAAATTGGTATGCAGGTCAAGAGGCAACAGTTAGAACTGGACATGGAACAACAGACTGGTTCCAAGTCAGGAAAGGAGTATACTGTCACCCTGCTTATTTAACTTATATGTAGAGTACATCACGTGAAATGCCATCTGGATGAGGCACAAGCTGGAATTAAGATTGCTGGGAGAAATATCAATAACCTCAAATATGAGGATGATAACACCCTCATGGCAGAAAGCAAAGAGGAACTAAAGAACCTCTTGATGAAAGTGAAAGAAGAGAGTGAAAAAGTTGGCTTAAAACTCAACATTCAGAAAACTAAGATCATGGCATCTCGTCTCATCACTTCATGGCAAACAGATGGGGAAACAATGGAAACAGTGACAGACTTTATTTTTGGGGCTCCAAAATCACTGCAGATGGTGACTGCAGCCATGAAATTAAAAGATGCTTGCTCCTTGGAAGAAAAGCTATGACCAATCTACACAGCATATTAAAAAGCAGAGACATTACTTTGCCAACAAAGGTCCCTCTAGTCAAAGCAATAGTTTTTCCAGTAGTCATGTATAGATATGAGAATTGGACCATAAAGAAAGCTGAGCACCAAAGAATTGATGCTTTTGAATTGTGGTTTGGAGAAGACTCTTGAGAGTCCCTCGGACTGTGAGGTGATCAAACCAGTCAATCTTAAAGGAAATCAGTCCTGAATATTCATTGGAAGGACTGATGCTGAAGCTGAAACTCCAATACTTTGGCTACCTGATGTGAAGAACGGACTCACTGAAGAAGACCCTGATACTGGGCAAGATTGAAGGCAGGAGGAGAAGGGGTCAACAGAGGATAAGATGGTTCTATGGCATCACTGACTCAATGGGCATGAGTTTGAGCAAGCTCTGGGACTTGGTGATGGACAGGGAAGCCTGGTGTGCTGAAGTCCATGGGGACGCAAAGAGTTGGACATGACTGAGTGACTGAACTGAACTACTTTACAATAATGTGATGGTTTCTGCCATACATCAACAAGAATCAGCCAAGGGCATACATGTCCCCTCCCTCTTGAACCTCCCTACCACCTCCGTCCCCATGCGATCCCTCTAGGTTGTCACAGAGCGCCGGCAGAATTAAGTAACTCAGGTTGGAGGTTGGCCATACCAGAAAACCAACCAAGTGATTAGAGGGCTGGGGCTTTCAGGCACAGCTATGCCACTGGGATGGGTAGTGGAATTGGAAACTGAATTATGTGGACAATGATTCAATTAATTATTATTCAATATAAGAAATCCCAATAAAAACTCTGGACACCTAAGCTTGGGTGAGGTTCCCTGGTTGGCAATACTTTGTTGTCATGCAGTAAATGTGTTGGGAAGATAATAATATGTCCCTGAGAACAAGAAAACATTGCACTTGGAAATCCTGCCTTTTGACTGGTTCAGATTTGTGTGTTTTTGCTATGATAAAACTTTAATCATAACTACAGCATTTCCCTGAGTTCCGTGAGTTGTTCCAGTGAATTATCCAACCTAAGTTAATCTATGGAGATGCCTGAAATTTGTAACCAGCAGATCAGAATTGAGTGTGGCTCAAGAGGTCCCCAACTTTCAGCTGTATTTTATACAATCTTGTAGAAGTCTGGGCCCTTAACCTGGAGTCGGCCAACTTTAAGTTAACAACAAAGTTTAGAAATATCCTCTAAGAGTCTGGTTCAAACTTGAGTCCTAGGGGGGCCATCATAATTATATCCCTCTCCCCCATTTCAGGCTACCTGTCTGTCCAAGTGCAGGTTACTGCATACTGCTTTCTTTCTTCAATCATTCAGGGAATAAATGTCCCTGATAGCTCAGTTGGTTAAGAATTCACCTGCAATGCAGGAGACCCCAGTTTGATTCCTAGGTCGAGAAGATCTGCTAGAGAAGGGATAGGCTACCCCCTCCAGTATTCTGGGACTTCCCTTGCATTTCAGCTGGTAGAGAATCCGCCTGCAATGCGGGAGACCTGGATTCGATCCCTGGGTTGGGAAGATCCCCTGGAGAAGAGAAAGGCTAACCACTCCAGTATTCTGGCCTGGGGAATTCCATGGGGTTGCAAAGAGTCGGACACAACTGAGAGGCTTTCACTTTCACTTTTGTGACCTTTTAGATGATGTCATGAACATGAAAATTCTTACCCAAGGAACCTTCCTTTTCATTGATTCTATACATCCTCTAAATATACAGTTAGAATACTCAGGATAGGTATGAATGGATTAACCTATACCTCCACACTCTAATGATTTCATATCTCAAAGAAACTCCAGCCTCCACCACACACATACAGGAAAACTCTTCTGAGATCATCCCTGACTTGGTTTCACCCACAAACCCTACAGGCACACTTAATCTTCAAATACAGGCAGACAGCTTTTCAGTGCACCACTTTCACTGAGGGAATAAATACATTCCTCCTCCTGTCATCCCACCTCCACTCCTCCAAACCCCCAAAAGCCGATTCCATGATCACTGCTGAAAACAAGATTCTTTCTACTTCCTTTTCTTCTAGTCATGGAAGCTCTCAGAACTGTCAACTTAATCAAGCCCTCCCTATAAAGCATTCAAACCAGCACCCAACCTGTTCTCCCCCGGGATGGCCCCATACACAGAGACACGTGGCATCATTAGAGAAGAGAGAAAATAAGCAAAGGAAGAAATCAAGAAAGAATCCTGTGGTGCTGGATTGGAACTAGAGAGACCTACATACAGATACACAGATCCATTGACAGGGTTTGGGATTAGTGATATACCAATGGCAACAAGTTGACTTGGTATTTTATTTCTGAACACTGACCTCTACTAAAAAGGAACAGGCTCCTTGGAGAAATGGTTGATTTCAGAACTGAGGCAGGGAAAAGTCCAAGACGTGTCCAAAACATCTTTTGTCAGAAAAAGGAAGTACTCAAAGAACGATGGGGACATAAAAAAGAACAAAGACAGCTTGAAGGGCCTGTATGTGTGTGCTTAGTCACTCAGTTGTGCCTGACTCTCTGTGACCCCACGGACTATAGCCCGTCAGGCTCCTGTGTCCACAGGGATTCTCCAGGCAAGAATACTGGAGTGGGGAGCCTTTCCCTTCTCCAGGGGATCTTCCCAACCTAGGGATCGAATACAGGTCTCCCACATTGCAGGCAGATTCTTTACCGTCTGAGCCACCTGGGAAACCGCTTGAAGGGCCTCCCACTGGTCAAATCTAGGACAATTCTGACCACCAGAATAATGGGACTCCATGAACACATACTGACACAAATAAAACTGAACATTTGGTAAGAAACAGGATATTTAATAGTCTCAAAGTATCTCACCACCAAATACTTAATGATTAGAGAGGGAAAAAGGGTAACTCCACAGTAGAGAAGCCTGCAGAAATCCCCTTATCAAGAGATCAAAGTTAAAGAGCTATTGAACCAAACCAAAATCATATACTACTGGAACACTGAAAACAAGTGATTTCTGTAATATTTCTGTGAAAGAGACAACCTGACTCTAACCATGAAGCGTACAGACAAACCCAAACTGACAGGCATTTACAAAATAAATGGCCTGTACTTGTCAAGTGTCCAGATCATGAAAATCAAAGAAAAACCAATGCAACATTCCAAACTGAAGACTGAAAGACATGACGTACAAATGCATGTTTTGGAACTGGATATTTTTGATACAAAGGATGTTATTGCAACAATTGGATCTCAGTTTCTTCATCTGTAAATCATGAGATTAAACTAGATCTACTGCTCCAAATACCAATAAAGGACTTAGGTTTCTGTATAGACAAAACACTAGATCTAACAGTCCTTCAATATATAAAAAGCTCTCAATTGGTATTCTAACTATAAAGAAAGATTGCCACAGACACCCAGAAGTTGTAACCAAAATTAAGTTGTATGGGGAAAAGTTTTAAAGAAAAAAATATTATATAATCAATACTGTATCCACACAATGGAATATTATCTAGCTATATGAGCCGATATGGACAGATGTCAATGGCAAGATTTCGTAGAGAAAGGAAAACTTAGCCCAGTATATCTAACATAGTCCCTTTTCTATGTATGTCTGCATATATATATGTTTAAGATAGCCCCATATATGGGCATGTATATGCACAGAAAATTTCTGGAAGGATACATAAGAGTTTGTCAATAATGATTAGTTCTGAGAAATAGAAGATAGTACTACAGGGAAACAGAGCACTTTCCTCTCCATCTTCTACCCTTGTACACGCAATTCTCAACAAAGAAATTTAAAGTCAACCTAGTAGCAGTAAGTACATATAGCACCCAGACCATGGTTTCTAACATTCCCAACTAAAAGGAAACTCCCTGCATAAGTGGCTGATTGCACACATGGGTCAGAGTAAGTACAAAGTGAGGTGTGGACATCTTGTGCCAGAAAGCCAAGAAGCACCCAAAGACTACAAAAGGCATGTGAAAAGGCCCAAGAAGCTGGTGTGATGCGGCGCTCAAAGGCCAAACACGGGGTAATGCAAACATCAGGAAGAATCACTCTATCAAGAAAAGCAAGAGAGTGACCATCCCAAGAGTCAAGGCGGGGGTTAACTATGCGGGAGGAAGAGAGAACACTATGGGTTTCTGAAATCCTGGTGATGCTCTATTTCTTGACCTGGAAAATAATGTTTGTTTATAATAAGTTACTAAACCATACATATTTGTTGTACAGACTTACACACACACATATATACATACATAATGTTTCATAATTTAAAATAATTATATTTCATAATTTAAAAATTAAAATGTATGGTTTCAAGAAAAAAATAAGTCACGTAAAAACAAGAAGGCAAGAAAGAAAACGGCAATATCTTACCTGCAAGAGTATGTAGGTTCTCCCACTTTAAAAACACGACCACAAAGATGAGAAGGTTTGTTTGTTTGTTCAAGTTTGGAAAATCCCAACTCAGGATCTTCACCACAAAGGTACCATTCCATTGGTCCCAACAAAACTTGGTGTGCCAATGTGTCTTCTTTCTGTGGAAAAGGGTTGGGACCCCTGCAGTAGATTTTGGGTACATAGTGGGCCAAATGCTGGTATACTTCTTTAGTAAGGTCAGTTGCTTGCAGCCATTTCTTAAAAAAAAGAAAAAATACTTTTAAACAGTCAATAAACTGCAAATTTTAATACATCTACTCTATTTTCTCCTAGAGACAAACAATAATGACAAAAGAATCTTATAAACTGTTTTACTGACAACAATCATCACTGTATGCCTTTTCAAAAAGGGTAAAACATTTAGAACTTAACTACAATAGCCAGTATCTTAGAATTCTACTTAAAGTGAAAGCAAAATCAACAGTGAAATGAGCCCATCTGCTCAAAATGACTGCTGAAACAACCTCCTATAAGCAGTCCAGGAAAATAACCACAATAAATCATCTCAAAGACGCTAGCCATTGAGCCTATCTGACTTCCTTTCTAATTTCAACTGTTTTGCTCAAATGATACTCTAATTGTGATCTGGATTCTCTTTTCAGTTTGCTGATAGGAAGAGCATACAGTAAACATGAACAGCCAATGTACTAATTCTATTTCTCAATGATTAATAAATTACAAGACACAAGAGACTTTGTTTTAATGATTATGCTCTTCCCCCCCACCCCACTGACCTCTGCTTAAACCCTTTCTCCTTCACTCTCCACACTAAAAACATCTTAAAAAGCCACCGTTTCCCATACCCAAACTTTCATGTCCTACTACCTGTGGTAATTCTACTTAGATATCTAACAGATACTGAGATATTGTAATTTACAATAAGAAATACACTTTTGGTGTTCTCATTCCTAGCACAGAGCTCCTAAAACTCTTGAAGTTTCCTAAGTGAGATAAAGAGAAAAGGAGTGTCTTTTGTTATTCAGAGCAAACCCCTTTCAATCAGACGTGAGTTGCAGTTACTGAGGTGAATTTGGAAAGCCCCTAAGGATGGGGAGCTGGTTGCCAGGGGAACATGATTAATAGGTGGGAACTTACAGCCTCCATCCCAACCAACTTCAGGGAAGGGAGAGGTGCTGGAGGTGAAGTTAATCACTAATGACCAATGATTTGATCATCATGCCTATGGAGGCATGAAGCCTCCATAAAAATTCCAAAATGTCGAGGTTCAGACACCTCCTTGCTTGGTGAACAGGCAGAGGTGCTAACGTGCCCAGAGAGGGCATGGAAGCTCCACACACCTTCCTCTATTTCATTTGGTTATTCCTGAGTTGTATCATTTTATAATAAACAAGTAACCTAGTAAATAAACTGCTTCCTTGAGTTCTGTCAGCCACTGAGCAAATTATTGAACCCAAAGAGGGGGTCACAGGAACCCCTCTCATTTGCAACATAAATTGTGGGTAACCTGAGGACCCCCTGCTTGTGAGTGGCATCTGAAGTAGTACTGGGGGCAGCTTTGTGGGACTGAGCCCTTAATCTTTGGGATCTGACGCTAACTCCAGGTGTATAGCGTCAGAATTGACCAACTTGTGGGGCACCCAATCGGTGTCTGCTGAAAAGGAGAGAACTGTTTGATGTGGGAAAACCACCCCCCTACATTTGGTGGCTGGAAGTGTTAGTGTGAATGTAAAGAGAAATAGAACAGTTTTTCCTTTCAGACACCAACTCAATATGTCCAAAATTGAACTCATGATCTCCCACAACACAAAACCCCCTGCTATTTTCTCCATTTCCCTGTTTTATTTTTTATTTTTTTGATTTTTTGCATTTCCCTGTTTTAAACACCAGCATCTACCAGGTATTCAAACCAGAAAAAAACCAGAAATCTTTCTTCCTTACCCCAACATTCAAGTAATCATCATGTCTTGTCTATCAGGGCTCCTCAACATCTGCTGAATCCATCCATTTCTTTCTCTCCATCTCTACTGGCACTGCCCCCAAACTGCCCAGAGCCATCAGATTAGTGCAACCATATTCTAACTGGTAATCCCCACTAGTTTGGCCCCTCTACAGTTCATTTTTCCAATCTCACTACCAGAGTGTTTCTTGCAAAATGCCAATCTGATCATGTCACTGTTTCCCCTTCTATTCAGGATCAAGTCAAGCCCACTGACATGGCTCCAAAGCCCTCTCTCTTGTATTATACTTCCTAGGCTCCTCCTCCTGAGTGGTACTGCTCCTCTCTCTGCTTCCCAGGGCTATTTTCTACTCATTCTTCAGATCTCAGTTTATGTTTCACTTTCTCTAAGATGCCTCCTCAGCCCATTCCTTACCCTAGTCTCCTATTCCTCTAACCCCCACCCCCAGTTCTAAACCAGAACCAAGACCCAGTGGGCATTTAGTAAAATCTGTTAACCTAATGCCTATAAACATATCTGTACTACTGACTGTCACTTAACGTTGATATCACAGGAAGATGCTCCATGTGGCTTTTATGGAAGCAGAAATAAAGCCAATCCAGGTGCAGGCTCTAAAAACCAAACCAAATAAGGCCTATAATAAGGCATCCATCAAACTACCTCCATTCTTTTCTCTTTCTATTTCCTTAAGTCTTAAGATTTTTCCTCATACCATTGTCATTTATTTATTCCTGCCTTTCATACCAATTCCATCTATGTTTATTTGTCCTCCATATTTCCTTGCGTTAATTACAACCAACTTTTTCTGGCTCTAAACCAAGTAAAAATTTTAAATCAGAAAACATGGAACAACTCACTTCTACAAAAATGCAGTTAACTGTTAACTCATAGGTCTCATGTTTACCTATAGATTACAACGTTTAAGTCTCAAATTACATCCTTGTTAACAAAGAGTGCATTCAAGTGATGTCTAACACCATAAGACAAGAGGATAAGGTCGTCTAATGGCTATACTCCAATATAAAATAAAACATTAAAAAAAAGAGTATAAGGTCTTTTTAACTATTACTTGCATAATCATCAGTCCACTTCTTTTCTTTGAAAAATAACTCTACAGAGAGATTTTAAATATTCATGAGGTGGTATATACTAACTTTCAAGTTAATTTCACACTTTAGAGAACTCTTCTGAAACATGCAAAATTCTTGTTCATAAGTTAAGGGCTGGATAGAAGTTTATAATTGAAAACAGCGGAAAAAGTCTTTACCCCTGAAGTGAAACAATCCTTTCCAAATGTAACTAATTTTGCTCTGTTTCCTTTTATCAAGTAGGAAAGAGACTAAATTACTCTTGCAACAGTACTTTGAGGGAGACAATCATTAAGATTCAAGAATCCACCCCCTGGATCCTAGAAAACTATGCTTCAATTTTAACTTACAACGTATTTAAAGGTTTTGTTTAACACCAATTTTTTGTTTTATATTTTATGTTGCCATTTCTCTTAAAAGTTTACTTTTGCAGAATTTTGATCCAGGGAGGATAAAGGATGGTGCTTTGTAAAAGAAATTATGTTGTCTTGTGGCTCCAACAACACTCATGGGCCAAATATGTTCAGATTTCTCAAACAAAAAATTCAGAAACTAATATCAGCTTCTGGTTAAGAGAAAAAAAAAATCAGTCACCTTATTTAAAACACTAATAAACAAAGCAAAGTACCTTTACATGGGAATTATATACTGGAGACATAGAATTAGTGACCAGCAACAATATAGATTAGAAAAGAAAAGCTGTGAAGAGAAAATGAGCAGGTGGAGAAAATTTCTGGCTGCATTTCAGAATAATTGTTTACATATTTCTCAAAAGAAAAAACCTATAGCTTTTCATATTAGCTCTCAGTAACATAAGCTAATTGTAACTATTTCTTCAAAAGGAAAAATTACCAGATTCCCAATTTGGTTGCATGTTAATCTGTCCTTATTTCAGACACTTGCGGCTGTCATGTAATGTGCACATCACAGTAATAAGCACTACCTTATTAGAAGTCCTCCATAAGGCAAGTGGGGAAACTGTCAACTCATTCCACTATAGTAAACATGTTATGACAATGTTTCTAGGCTCTCTCTTAGTTTGAAAGCTAATTTGCAGCCTTGGGATGGACAGCAAGTATAATAAACACAAAAATCAAAGAATCCCGTGGGGTTAGTTCTTTTATCACAGTGAAAAGTAAAAGTTGCTCAGTCATGTCTGACTCTTTGGGACTCCATGGACTGTACAGCGGGCCAGTCTGTACTGGCCCGGCTCGGGTGATTAACCTTTCCCTTTTCCAGGGGATCTTCCCAACCCAAGGACTGAACCCAGGTTTCCCACATTGCAGGCGGATTCTTTACCAGCTGAGCCACAAGGGAAGCTTGTATCACAGTATCTAATTATAATTCTTTGCCAAATTAAAACTGCATTCTTTAACCACATTTGGTTTTGCTTTTGAACAAGGATAATCAACATGTAAGTTAACTATTAAAAAACAATCTAAAGCAACAATCACTAATGCTGAAATGAAGCTTTCGGGACTATATTAAGAAAAAATTAGAACTAGAAAAAAATGTAACTTAAAAATAGGCAAAAGACCCAAATTGACACTTAAAAAAAAAACAACCCAAAAAGCTTATGAAAAGATGTTCAACATCATGAGTCACGAGGGAAATACAAATCAAAACTATAAAGAGCTCCAACTTTACACTCAAAAGAATAGCTATAATTGAAAAAAGAGACAATTAACAAGTGTTGGCAAGGATGTGAAACCCACTGAAAACTTCACATCTGCTGATAGGAAGGTAAAACGACGCAGTCATTTCGGCCTAGCAATTCCTGACCCAGCAATTCCACGCCTGGGTGTATGCCCAAGAGAAATGAAAACATATATTCCCACAAAAAAACTGTACACAAATGTTCACAGTAGCACAATTTATGATCTCCCAAAAGTTGAAACAACCCAAATAGCCATCAACTGACGAATGGATAAATAAAATATGGTATATCCACATAATGGACTATCATTTGGCAGTAAAAAGGAATGAAGTATTGAGGATATATGCTACAATAAGGACAAAACTTGAATACTTATGCTAAGGGAAAGAAACCAGTCACAAAAGACAACAAGTTACATAACTCCATTTATATGAAATTTCCAGAATAGACAAATCTATGGAAACAAAGAAACAGGTTAGCAGTAGCGTAGAGTCTGGGAGGTTAGAAGGAGTGTACAGATAATGGATGTAGGATTTCTTTTGGAAGGGTGATGAAAATGTTCTAAAACTGATCGTGGTGATGGCTGTACAACTGCATATACTGAAAACCACTGAACTGAACTGTAAGATATGTGAATTATATTGCAACATATAAAACTACTGAAAGTTTTAAGGTAAAAAGTAACCAATATAGATATAATACTCTATATAAAACTTCTGTAAGGAATACATAGTTCTTTCAGACTTGGGGAGAAACAATATATCCACTTTTTAAATCATAATCATCCACTGAAACATATAATTGAATCTGTGGAGCATAAGATGTAGATAGACTCAAGAAGTGTCAGGGGAGCTGTACTTGCACAACGGGGAGTTGGTGATGGACAGGGAAGCCTGGCATGTTGCAGTCCACAGGGTCGCAAAGAGTCGGACACGATTGAGCAACCGAACTAAACTAAACTGAACATACTTGCACGATCAACTCTACCAAAGGAAAGAGAACACTAGAACATTGGGCCAGTCACTTTACTATCCTAAACTTAAAAGTACTGGAGTACTTAAATACTTTTGTGAGGCATTCTAGTAAAGAATAGATGGGATCACAAAAAGTCCTTCCTCCTCATACAAATAAGAAAAGCCAGTGTGTAAATACAATGTGGGAAAGATGACACCAGTGCTTATTAAGTAATTTTAGACGGATGTGATCCCAACCAATTACTAGTTACAGAGGTCTAAAGGCTGCAATAACTGCTTTACTTGTTTATTCTCTCAAGTTTATTTTAACCTGAGAAAACTTTATTCATTTTAAATTGTGATAAAGGCTGGGCTGGAGCCGAAGCTGGAAGAATACTAAAGTGTTATGCTGTTTTAACCAAATACAGACAATAAACGCCTCACAAAATAAGGGCAAATTATACTGCTTGAAGAATCCTGTATTTTAATACTAGCCTGAATCTTCTTTAAGAAATTTTATTGGCCTTCAGACCTAAATTTTTTCCCATCTTATTCAGAAATCCATTTAAAAGGAAACAGAGCAAAACTAAAATGTAGCTCAGACTCTTTACAAACTCCAAGTCCAGAGTACTAAATTTTGATTACATTTCCCTTAATTTCCCCCACTACATCTGACTGAGAATTTCACTACACAAGGACTAGGAGCACTGGTCTCTAGCATTGGTTTTATAACTGTTTACTCAGGAAATCTCAATAAATTTGAGAAGCTCTCACTTGATAGCTTGCACTTTTATTTAAAATTTTATTTCACATTGGAGTATAGTTGATTACCAATGTTGTGTTAGTTTCAGGTGTATAGCAGCTTGCACTTTTAGAACTGGGAAAATAAGAGTACATAGCCTGTACCACTGGGTTACTAGCAAAATATGGCAGAAGTTAAAAAAAAAAAAGTCAGGTAAATAAAAGGTCAGATATCAACATGGATACTGACAGGATGATGTAGATAGGGAACAGCTATTATCATCATTTTACTATTTACTTCGAACACAGCTTTCATTTTCTTTTCAAATCTCTCGATAAATGAAAGGCAGATGGGGAAAATCCTTGGGTTGTTGCAATATTAAGCAGAAAGTAAATGAAAATGGAACTAAACAAGTTGGTTTAAGAACAAAGATGTATCAGTCAATGTGTTTCTTGAAACTTTTCACCTCTACTCCTAACATTTTCTTCCCGTATGACTGTAGTGTCCTCATCAATTCGCCCAAAATAACTCCTCACTAACCAACAGGCTCAAAGTGCCCCACTACAACTTTGTTCCTAACATTCAGATTGTTGACTTGCGCTCAAAGGTCACTTCCTTCCTACCAGTTTTTAAATCGGAGGCCTTAAAGGTGGGGCCTAAGCTGCTGGTCCATTTATAATCATTCTGGGCAATCTGTTCTAATGGGTGTTCCCTGTCCTTCTGGAGGAAAGATACCATCGAGTTTTATTAATTGTTTTATAACTCTGTTACTTATATGAGCATATTCATATTATAGATTCAGTACAAGACTGGCTTTGAATGCTTTAAGTTTGGGGCATTAACTGCTCTCACCACGCTGTGGCCACATTATTAGCTTCCATTTACTGACAGCCGCTCTCTCAAAGTTATATAACGTTTGTTCTCCGTCCAACTACCCCCAACTCCTAGACGAATTATTGTTTTAATCTCCCAGTCTCCACGACCACTTTCTCACACTCCATAAACCTGTCAAGACACTAACTCTTCGCACATTCACTAACGTCGACTGACCAAACCAGGGCAAAAACGCACTGAAAAGGAGGGGAAAAGACGGAGGACAGTGTCCTTGGCATCCGCCGGTCCCAGAAACAAAGTAAAGGCGGCAGGTTTCAAACGAGGAGGCAAGGCTCCGCTTATCTCCGGAAAAGGAATCAGGAAGACAAAGTACCCAAAAAAACCAGGAAGCAGAGTTGGCATAGAGGGCAAAGGCCCTGTGCTGCGAGACTTAACTGGGAGCGTGGGGAAAAGGAGAAATAATGGAAGAGCAAAAGGGAACGCGAGGGTGGCTGGTGCACCCAGTGGCGCTGCCGGCTACTTGTGGATAAAGAGGGAAGGAGAGGGGCAGGATCTGGGGCCTCCCCTTGCCATTACCTACACGGCGAGGCGCCGCGCGCGGGGTCGTCACCCCAAGTCAGGGCCCGCCGCCCGGGGATTCCCAGGAGAAGGTTCCTCCCCCGGGGCGCGGCCTGCCACGACCGGACATCCGAGCCCCGGTCCAGGCACTCACCCCCGCGGTCTCCTCAGCTGAACATTCCAGCAAACTCCGGTCGAGGGCCTGCACCTCAGGCTCCAGCTCCGACGCCATCTTCTCTCCTTCGCCTCCCCAGCGCTGACGCCGCTACTGCCGCCCCGAGGGCAGCGGCCTCACCACGGCCCGGGGGCGGGGGAGGGGGGCGGGGGCGCGGCAAAGCCACCACCCTGCCTGGGGCGGTCGGTCTTGAGCAGGAGTTCAGGTGGCCGCGGGTGGAGAAGACGAAGAGTAGCGCGAGGTGAGGCGGGCAGAACGGACAGCGTCTCCTGCGCTCCCTCCCGGGCTCTGCGCCCAAGAGTCAAGTCACCGCCTCGTCTCTGCCCCGGGGAAGGACACAGAAAACATCGGACCTGGCACTGTTGCCCGCTACTACTGCGTCCGGCACCGTGAAAGGGGCAATAACACTTCAAAGAGGAAGCAGAGCACTCTGGGAGTTGTAGTCGTCCTCCGCAAGGCCAGGAAAAAGGTGGAACCCTTACAAGGAGCCCGCCCCGGGATGGCATTGTGGGAGTTGTAGTCCGTTCGTCTCCTAAGAGCTTGGAGAAATGGCAGATGAGCGGGCGGGGCTTTTGTGCACAGCTAGAATCGTGGGAAGAGACCCGTGGCGAGAGGCTCCCACCTGGGAAGAGGCAGCAGCGCGAGATACCGTGTGGTACTGTAGTTTTATCCCTCAACGCCATTTGTTCATTTTTGTATCCCAGAGCTTAGAACAGTGCCTGGCACGTAGTAGAACTCGAGTGCTTTTCAAAGCCTGGAGTGGGTATGAACTCAAATACTTGTCGAATGAATAAACATTCCTACAGTTACGTTTCTATAGTGTTTATGGCCCTGTCATCCATCAACACTGGTAACGAAGGTGTACATCCCCCAAGATTTTGAAGGTTTTTAAAACATGTTAAACTGGTGTGAAAGGAAACGTTTCCAAGTGATTTAGTTATGACCGCTTATTAAAATTTATTACAAATCTTGTTGCAAAGGAGGAGTCTACTGAGCCAATTCAAAGATTTACTCTTGATCGGGACGTTTTATAGAAATAGATAATCATTGTTAGGTTGGACACAAAAGGAAATTATGTTTCGGTAGAGGTAATTAGACTTTTGACTGACAGGTGTGTGGGTTTCTTAGAACAAGTCTTCAGTTCCTTTAGAGTTTATCAGAAAATTGCTTACACGTTGTATTAGGTATGAGCTTTATTCCTACAAAGAAATTGTGAATTATATTAGGCAAAAAAAGTTCTGATGGAATCCAGGTTTGGGAAATTTTTTTTTTGCTGGGTGTTATTGTTGTTAACAAAACTATAATATTACCCAAGTTTTTTCTTTTAAGGAAATAAAATTACCCATAATCCCACAGTCCAAATAAACCTTGTTATCGCTTTAAAAAATGAAACTAATATCTGTATAAGTTAGAACTTCAAACTCAATGAAAATATTTTTAAAGGGAAAAATGATAACTATGCCTCTTACCCAAAGTCCTTCTCTGCAAAAAAAAGCATTGTTAATATTTTCTTATGATTCTAGCCAGAAAAAAAAAGTATTCATATATACATAAATACCTAGAATGAGAGATCTTGAAAGGGTCATATATATATATATACACACACATGTTACTTTCTTCTTTGCCCAACCTCCTTGCCCTGATGGGCTCCCTAACCAGAGACAACCTGGAGGAAGCCTGGGATTGTTATAACCCAGAAGCAAAGATAATGCCTCTTTAAGAGTCCTAATGTAGAATTAAAGCCATTAAAATGCATTTTAAAGAAACTTTATTATTTTTAATTTTTGGATTAATTTTATATTCTTTTCCCCTAAATTCTTGAGTTGGATATTTCTATTAACCATTCTTTTTCAAAATGTACATCTAAAGCTGTGGTTTTCAAACTTGAGTGTGCATCAGAATTACCTAGAGGTCTTGATAAAATACAGACTTCTGGATCCCACTCAGAATTTCTGATTCAATAGGTTTTGGATGGAGACTGAAAACTGTATTTCCGTCAGGTTCCTGGGTCAATCTGTGGGCTTGGGGACTAACTTCAAGAATCACAGATTTATTAATGCAATGCATTTCCATTATATACTGCTTTAATTACATTATGCAAATTTTGGTATATAATATTCTATTATTTATTAGTATGATTTAAAATTTTCTAGTGTGTATGACCTTGTGATCTTTTTTCTTTTTCATATCCATGACTCACTTATTTTGTAACTGAAAGTTTATACATCTTAATCTCTCTCTTTTTTCTTTCTTCCCTCCACCTGCTGCCCTCTGGCAACCACCTGTTTGTTTTCTGTACATATAGCACTGTTTCTGTTTTATTATATTTGTTCATTTGTTTTGAATTTTAGATGCCATATATAAGTGAAATCGTACAGTATTTGTTTTATTGTCTAATATATTTTTCTTAGCATAATACCTTCTAGGTCCACCCATTTTGTCACAAATGACAAGATTCCATTCTTTTTTGTGGCTGAGTAATATTCCATTGTATGTATGTACCAAATGTTCTTTATCCATTCATCTTTTGATGGGTGCCTAGGTTACTTCTGTATCTTGGTTATTGTAAACAATACTACAACAAACATAGGAGTTCATATATATTTTCTAATTAGTGTTTTTATTTTCTGCAGATAAATATGGAGGAGTGGAATTTCTGGATCATATAGCAGTTCTATTTTTAACTTTTTGGGGAATCTCTATACTGTTTTCCACAGTGACTGCACCAATTTACATTCCCACCAAGAGTGCATGAGGGTTCCCTTTCTGCACATCCCGCTATTTACTGTCTTTCTGATAACAGCCATTCTAACAGGTGAAAGATGATACTTGTTTTTTTGATTTGCATTTCCCTGATGAAGGTGTTCCCAACCTCTGGGATCTAATGCCTAATGATCTGAGGTGGGACTGAGGTAATAATAAAAAAAAAATAAAGTGTAAAGAAGCATAATGCTCTTGAATCATCCTGATACCATTTTAGACCCCTCCCTGCAGGTCTGTGGGAAAATTGTCTCCTATGAAATCAGTCCCTGGTGCCAAAAAGGCTGGGGACCTTTGCATAGTGATGCTCAGCATCTTTCATGTCCCTGTCAGCCATCTGCATGTCTTCTTTGGAAAAACGTCTGTGGAGATCCTCTGCTCATTTTTTAAGTCAGGTTGTTTGCTTTTTTTACTTTATTTTTTTATTTTTAAATTAAAAAAAATTTTTTTTTCTTTAGGTCTGCATCATGCAACATGTGGGGTCCTAGTTCCCCAACCAGGGAATCGAACCTGTACCCTCTGCAGTGAAAGCATGGAGACATAACCACTGGACTGTGAGGAAAGTCCAGGTTGTTTGTTTTTTAAATATTGAGTTGTATAAGTTCTTTATCAATATTTTAGATATTAAACCCTTATCAGATATATCATTTGCAAATATTTTCTCCCATTTAGTAGGTGGTCTTTTCATTTGTTGATAGTGTCTTTTACTGATCAAAAGCTTTTCAGTTTGATGTAGCATGGCAACCCGCTCCAGAATTCTTGCCTGGAGAATCCCCATGGACCCAGGAGTCTGGCAGGCCACAATTCATGGGGTCGCAAAGAGTCGGACATGACTAAGCAACTAAGCACAGTGCACAGTCCAACTTGTTTATTTTTGCTTTTGTTTGTCTTGCCTAAGGGGACATAACCAAAAAATATTACTGAAATCAGTGTCAGAGAGCTTACTGCCTATGTTTTCTTCCAGAAGTTTTATGGTTTCAATTGTTACATTTACATCTTTAATCCATTTTGAGTTTATTTTTGTACATGGTGTGAGAGGGTAGTCCAGTCTGATTCTTTTGTATGTAGCTGTCCAGTTTTCCCAACACCATTTATTTAAGAGTCTGTCTTTTCTTTATTGTATATTGTTGCATCCTTTGTCAACAGATTAACTGCCCATATAATGTTGGTTCATTTCTGGGCTATCTGTTCTGTTCCATTGATCTATGTGTCAGTTTTTGTGCCAGTACCACACTGGTTTGATAATTAAGTTTGAAATCAGGAAGCATGATAACTCCAGCTTTGTTCTTCTCTCTCAAGGTTGTTTTATCTACGTGTCTATGGAAAAAGCTTCTATTTCCGTACAAATTTAGAATTATACATTCTAGTTTTGTGAAAAATATCACTGGTATTTTAATAGGGATTGCCTTGAATCTGTCGATTGGCTTGGGTATGGTCATTTAACAAAATTAATTCTTTCAATCCATGAACACAGTATATCTTTCCATCTGTGTCATCTTTAATTTCTTTCATGTGTTTCACAGTTTTCTAAGTACAGGTCTTTTACCTCCTTAGTTAGATTCATTCCTAGATATTTTAGTCTTTTTGGCAGGATTATAACTGGGATTGTTTCTTAATGTCTCTTCTCATAATTCACTGCTAGTGTATAGAAATGCAACAGACTTCTGTATATTAATTTTGTATCATGCAGCTTTTCTGAATTAATTGATTAGTTTTATGTTTTTTGGTGTCATCTTTAAGATTTTATATGTATCATGCCATCTGCAAACAGTGACAGTTTTACTTCTTCCTTTCTAGTTTGTCTTCCTCTTATTTCTTTTTCTTGTCTGATTGCTGTGGCTAGGACTTCTAATACTATGTTGAATAAAAATGGTGAAAGTAGGCAATCTTGTCTTGTTCCTGATCTTTGAGGAAATTCCTTCAGCTTTTCACCATTGAGTATGTTAGCTAAGGGCTTGAACTATCTGGCCTTTATTATGTTGAAGTATATTCTCTCTATACCCACTTTCTGGATAGTTTTTACCATAAAAGGATGTTGAACTTTGACAATGTTCTTCTGCAACTATTGAGATAATCATATGGTTTTTTTTTCATCATATGGTTTTTATTCTTCAATTGGTTAATGTGGTGTATCACATTGATCTGCAGGTGTTGAACCATCCTTGTATCACTGGGATAAATCCCAGTTGATCATGGTCCTTTTAATGTATTGTTTAATTTGGTTTGTTGATATTCTGTTGAGTATTTTTGCATCTGTGTTCAGTGATGTTGGCCTGTAATTTTCTTTTTGGTGTGAT